GACAATTTAATTAAAAAGCACAACGGTGCAATATTTGCTCGTTCGTTCTGGAAAGCCGGAAAGTGCTGTGCACGAAGGGCATTACCGTTATGCAGTCTGTTTGCTGTTGATTGCTGTCTATTGTCTACAGTCGGTACACTTGAGGCGAGGCACGTCAACACACCTAAGCTTAGTCAGCGATCTACAACTTATATATTTATTACCGTTATGAGTTTATGTGTCAAACAAACGTTTCTAGCGTTACCACAATAAGATTCCAGAATGTCATGCCGTTAGTGTCAGCCAATTTGTCGGTAAAGACGCTCATTTAAGTGAAAATAAGGAAAAACATTAACTTCCGTTGTCGAGGCTATATGTAATACCCTTCACAAGTGTCATTTCTCACAGCAACTTTAAATATAAATCTGAAAATGTAATAGGTCAACGGTTTACCTCCAACGGAAGACGTTTTGCTAGTTCTTTTTAGCCACTTTGTTTGATATAATTATTCTGATTTCGATTCGAAAAACTGAGTGACTAGTTCGCATACATACAGGCAAATGGACGGACGGACGGACATAAGGATAGATAGACGGACATGGTTTAATTGACTCAGCTCGTCAAGTTGACCATTTATATAGACTTTATGGGATCTCCGACGTTTGCTTTTGAATGCGATAAGAATTTAAAGATGGAGTATAGAATTCTATACTTAGCTTTAATAGTAGTAGAGGCCTCCGCACTACGTATAAAGCATGGTAAGGGTTCTCCAGTCTTTACTTCAACATAACTTTTTTCAAGCAAAAAACAGGCAATTTTTTTACATTACAACAATTACAGAGAGAATACTCAAAGCTTTACTGAAGTGGGTGAGAACAAATGAATGCAAATTGAATAAAGAGCGCTCTGCCAAATATTTAAGCGGCCATGGCGGAAGGCATTCGCTGGCTGTGCGATCACATGCTCACTATTTTAATGACATCACGTTCATCATGTAAATGAATAAATTTAATTAGTCAGCTGCTGCACACAACCACATACATGTGTCACATGCCTGCGCTGCATGTCAGCTTCCTTTGAACTGAAATTTAATGGAATTTGGAAAAATTAAATTGTCTCGACTGCCAGCGGCGTGAGACCCCAAATACTATAGAAGCGCTGTAAATGAGAACAACCAACAACCGGCGACCACCAACAACGGAAATGACTATTATTTATGCAGATACATTGTTGCAAAGCCTTGCAATAGCGCACGAGATAAAGACGAAATTTATCACATTCGCAGACATTGTAGTATACCCTGCGGTGCCGGTACGAACCAATACTCTTACAGCAGCCACATTAATTAACACGTTGCGAGTACTCGTACGTGGCTGTAAGAACGGAAGCGCGTGTAGTTTTACTTCAATAGGAACTCGATTTTTAGAAGAAATGGACAAAATAATCTCTTATCTGCTACGATACCTTATTGAAGGATGAGACCAGAATGAGCCAAGTAATTCGATTAAAAACATTTTGTTCGACCAGAACTATCGCTACCTAAATCTAGCTTTCAAATGGAGGGTGTGGTAGTAAAATATTCGTCAAAAATTATTCATCATGTTTAATTGATTTATTATAAGTTCACGCACTTCTTATCCAACCATTCTGGAAAGCACGTAAAATATATTCAACCGACACATAACTGTCACGCCGCTAATAAGACACTGCAAGTCATTGGCCAAACACGCCATTAGTGTTTCCAGTAGCATTACCCCGTCGCAAGACCTCATATACGAAAATATCTTATATATATATAATATGTATGTAGATTACAAATAAGGCTTCTATCTACTTACTTTATGTCTAAGATAAACGATCAAATGTCTTTGCCTCACACTGAAGTGGCTGCCATTCACCTTCTAGGTAATTTGTAATGAATCTAATGTTGGAACTTTGTCGTGCGCTTGAGCCAGCACATGCCAGAGGACCTGATTGTTGTGCAGAAGCTCGTTACATTTGCAATATGTGTTGCGTTGCTGCAACCGCTGCAAGTTAAATGCGTGTTGCATACAAATGGCGCTCATTAATTTTCAGCGGTAATGGCATGTGAGGCTCCATTTGATGTACATTTATTTATGCGGCTATATTAAGATGTCTAACATGCCCAGGGCGACATGGCGCTCCTGCTTAAGTTACAACAAATTCACATTTACATATACATACACATATGAACAGTTTGTACATCGTATATATAAGTCACATATTATTGCTGCCGATTTGCAAGACATTAGTTAGCTTTGTTTGCTGTGCGTAAGGGAAATTTGCATTTCAAAAGTCGGAAATTTGGAAATATACGTAATATATTATATTTATTTTTGTTTTGCCACGCTGCACTAAGTTGAGATTCTTCCTTATTTGTTTACGTTTCTTGTCTTATTGATATTTTTCACATCTTTACAGCTCAGTTTTACAAGTTTACTTTGAGTAAGTAATTAGATTTAAGAAATTCTAATAAATCTTGGAGCATTCCAGAGCAAATTCAAAATAGAAATAACAATACTGCAAAAGGAATTACATTTGTATTTATAACTGCACATATTAGCACACACACTAATAATTCTCAAATAGCGCTTTTTAATACCAGAAAGTTGTAAATATAATATAGTATACTGGATCAAATTTGACCCAACTGCGCATAAGCCGAATCGATAATTTTTTGTTTTAGATTGACACAACCTTTTTTTATGTTTGTGCGAAGTTTGTTCTCCATAATTCAATTACGCTAACTCCAAAAAGTAAAAGAAACAGTGCTCGAAAATCGCCGTATTAGCATCAGAAAGATATCAGAGGATCTCGATTATTGGATAGACTCAACACATTTTTGTTAATGTTTTGGGATTGAACTGTGTCAATGCTAGCCTCTTACCAAAAGACCTAAATCTTTTGTAAAAACATCGTCAAGTAAAAGTCGCAGAAGAGATGCTTGCCAACGTAGCTAAGGACTCTACATTCGACATGCTCTTAATTAAGCAGCTAAAAATCTATCTTTGAATGATTTATTAAAATAAGAGGGCTTGGAAAGTTTCAAATGCGTTTTATTGAGTTATGCAAATTGCAAGCAACATTATACTGGTTCTTAAAGTTTTTTCCTTGAACTTTCAAAACAGAAGCCGTCTTCTATTCGCCCTTTTTCACTATCCTTTATAAAAGAGCTTGTGGAGGTGCTTCTCAGTGCTACGAGGATTTTTGCCTTAAAAATTGCAAAACACAACTTCTTATTAAACAAGAAGCATTTGTTTATTTAATTTAGTAACTTATGTCTGAATTAAATTATATATTTTTATGGAAAATGTAAAGCATGGAAGCTTCTGTTCGAAGCCAATGGATTACTAAAATGTTGCTTGGCACAGAATGAAGAATTTCTCTACAAATAATTAAGCGCAGATCATATGCGAATATGACAGATGAGCTAGTTAAAGCTTAACTAACAGCTTGTCTGTACAACTGGAGTTTGTTCGATTCACTACTATAAAAATTTTAGAAGACACCTAGAATCTTCCTAATCAATGCAGTTTCTCTAAAATAGTATAGAATAAGACGATTATACTTTCTTATTTATTTGTATCCGGAATTATGTCAGGCAACATTTATTTTTCCAAGCAATATGCAGTTTTGGAAAAAGTTATGCGAAATTAGAGATTTAGAGACACTTGAATGAAAGCTCTCATGTGGTTGACTACTATTTGGTTTTTAAAATTGGTTTCGAACAGCTATTGTTTTTGAGCAAATTTACATAAAAATATTAGAGGTATTAACAATTACATTCACTTATTGTGATGGGACAATAAATTTAACTTTCTTATGATTTGGTAAATTCAAGCAAACGAGGCAAGGTATAATGATAAAAAATATTGACAATTGCATGCAGTTATAATGAATGACCAATTCGCAACTCACAACAAAATTGCGCAATTGAATTTAACAATGTAAATGATGGCTGAATACAATAGAATTTCTTGTGAGCGAATAAGAGATGTAAGTATGAGTACAAGTTAAATGCGAAAGAAATAAGAACTTACGCCATCAATTGGCTGAAGGAGGAGAGTAGGTGCAAAGGAGAAAACAAGCTATCGGAATAAAAACGCAATGAAGTATGAAACAAATGAATGTACAACAATTGAACAAAGGAAAAGTGCTGCACATTAATAGGCAAAGTACAGATAAAGGCAAAACAAAGAGCGATACAAAAATACGAAGCATGAGAATGGAGGAAACAACGAGAACCATTACAAAGCATTCAGGTCTCATGTAAAAAGCAAACGAACCGGTGTAGCCACCTGTCGCAATTTAAGTGGAACAATTGTAAAATTGCAAAGCTTGTTTTGTTTGGCTTAAAAGTTTGATTGGCCGCCATAAAGTAGACTGCAGAGGCCGTCGCCACATCAATTGTAAATTGAAAAGTGAACAGTATAAAGCCAAAGATAAAAAACCTGACACAAAACCAACTACAAAGGATAAAAATAAAAATTAAATAAAAATTGAAGACAATCAATGAACTTCCGCAGGATTATGAGTAACGAGAGAACTTTTTAAAACACATCCAGCAGCTAAGAGGAAATTGGTTTATGCGCGCTCGCAGCGCAAGCAGCTGCCTTCGAGAGCTTCGTTGTACGAATAGCCGTGAACAAGTTGAGCAATGACTTAAGCTTAAGGAAGAAAACGGTAAAACAAGTACTTGATTTCCTGGTGAAATCAGTCATGGTGATGAAATTATTGCGATGATAAGGCTATGTCAGTAAAGACTGCCAGCATGAGTAGATCAACTCAACTTAGTGAGGTCTTTTTATTCAATTTATTCACTTTGACACATATATAAAAGGACATATATATAAGGAAAGTCGATAATAATATCTCATTATTATAGGCTGAAAAACTGAGTTAAAGAATCAAAATATTAAGTGTGTATAGAAAAACAAGATCCAGTGGAAAATGGTTCTATCTGTTATCAAAATGGTCGTACTTATTCAATGATTACTTACCGGTTGGTCATTGATTAACCACTGCAGACGTGATGCTGGGTGTGATTTTCCCGAAGTGCAGTTCAACGCTAAAGTGTCACCAATTTGATATTGATTTTGTTGGCCTCTGATATGTGGACCATCGCGCGGCAAAACTGCGAGATAAAAATTAAATATATTGCATATGTTAAATATATTTTTGATGCAAAAAAAGCCATTAGTGGGTTATACGCTATTTTCAAATCAATTGTGTCAAATCTATGTAAATTTAAATCGATTTAAACGTGTATATGGATAAAGACACAGTTATATGTTCTAATAAGAAGGGAAATTTCCGATGTGCTTTACCTTTTTTACTAGAAATTATTTTAAATTAGCTTAACTTAACACAACCTATCTTAACTTACCTCAACTTAGCGGAGCTAAACTTTCTTTAATCTTGACTTAGTTTTAGTGAATTTAACATAGCTTAAGAGAACTTATTTTAATATCGATATTTATCCTGAAGAAATCAAAACAATTGCTGAACGCACACCTTCACTTTACGTATTGACCGATAGTTGCGGCATAAAGTCAACCGGAAGTTCGAAAATATTGTATTTAAACTAGGTATTTGGAGGCTAAGGGAAGTATTGACCCGATTTACCCATTTTTGGCACAGGGGCATGTTGTCTTCATAAAAATATCTAAATTTAGCCCACAGGTCTACCTCGCTACTACAATCCCTAGTACCAAATTACAGTTTTGTATCCTATTTTAGTGCTTAGTTATGGCTTTATGTTTCACTTTGGAGGCGTAGCAATGGTCCGCTTCCGCCCATCCGCAATATCGGCCACCCTTGGGCGCCATTGCGTGTTCTAAGTATCATAAAAATTCCTTAATTTTTACTAAAATTATCAATTGCACGCACGTTCAGACAGACATTCACTCCGAATTCAACTCATCTTGTCATCCTGATCATTTTTATATATATAACCCTATATTTATCCCAATTAGTTTTCAGAGATACAAATAACCGTAAGGAGAACAAAACTGTTATGCTCTCTGTCGCAACATGTTGCGATAGTGTAAAACAACTTTGTTACAAATTAGACGCAATGCCGATTTCACAAGTTGCCTCACTTAGTGGACAATTTTTATCATAATTTTCCGAATGAATAGTTTTCCGCTACTCAATTTTACTAGATGCAAATATATTCGCCAAGTCGCTATGTAAATTCTTCTGCAGACACAAGTCAAAATCATTTCCATATGATCTAAAATATTACCAGATTTTAAATCAGTGCACGCAGGTGTCGCAGCAACTAAGCGTGCAACCACAACCCTCGAATGTTTGGTTCAAATCGCATTTCGCACGCTTCGACACTTTTCTTAACAGTACATAAATTTGATGCTTTGGCGAGAAAAAACTCCGAAGCAACAAATTGAAAATCACATCACGTCTTCGGCGTATGCAGTGAGTGGATTGTATAGAAGTACAGTGGTGGCCAAAATTTACGAATACTTACAGCGTATGCTTTCTAGCATCCAGGTGTTGACTTCTACAAAAGCATACAAATAGGCTTATCCTTTATAGAGTTTAAAGAACAGGAGAACTTTGCCAAACGTAAAGCAAATACTTAAAGTTTTCCATTGACATTCCTTACAAGTAGTTCTTTCTAAACTGTTAGAACAGGCGAACAGTACCAGATAACGCACTCAAATAGAATGTTAAATGATTTCAACCACTGTTTGCTTTTTTGCTGGTTGAGTTTTTTAATATTAACAATAATAAAATAATTTTAATTTCACACACACACAGTACTTTATATACGAGTATTCACTGTACCACCAACCGAGCTCATGAATGAGTGACTTTCCGTGCATGTTGAATGTAGCACTTCAGTTGTATGAAGAGGTGGACAATTTTCGCATACATGTACATAGGTATATGTATATATACTTATATAATATAGGATATTTATATATAAGTAATATTCCAACTTGATAAAATTCACACCAATACTTAGCATTGACAACGATTCACGGATTCATTCATAAATTGAGCTTGTTCGCACAACTGGTGTGTTGGGGAGCACGTGCAACGAATAGAGTCTGAACTACGCGACAAGGCCCCGCTACTCGACTGCACTGCGGTAGCGTATGCTAAGCGTTTTGAACCTCACACCTGCCGGCATATGATTGCATAAAAATGCGTTTTGATTATATGTGCCTATGTATGTATACATGTTTTTGGGTTAAATTGACAAAGATCACGAGTTTGCAGTAACTAAAGTTGTCAATGAATTATATAAATCATTAGAGGTGAGCAGTTTTATAATATATTTAGAAGTGTGGGACCTATTGAATCTTGAGAAACCCATATATCTCTTCAAGTCACTCAAGTGTTTACAATCCGTATTAAATTGAGTTGAGCATCTAGCCATATTACTTTTGTTGTTCAATTTTACAATATTTGGCATCATAGTAATTGAAGTGAATGCTGAAGACATTAAGACGTCAACACTTGACGTATGAAGAATATATGCAGCAACAAAAGCATAAGTATCAAGAGACGTAAGAATAACGAAAACTATATTGCTAAGTCTTAACCGCCTCTCCTTAGCAAGCTGACTTTATACTGTGGAGCTCTCAAATTCCTATTTATTCCAAGCAAACGTGCCAAGCAATTAATTTTCTATACATTCAAACTCATTCTATTCAGGCATTAACCAATAATTATCATTAAGAACATAGCTTCTAGTAGTAGAAAATGTTCTGCGGCAGTTATTTCCAGATGTACATAAGATTTGCTTACTTTTAATAAGTATGAATATGTATATAGTTCAATGGCAATGTATAAATGTATTGTATACTTGATTTTGCCAACATTTTGTGAAAATTGTAATTTCAGGTATTTATTAAAAGAAATTTGTAATCGATTTCTACACGCAAGCACAGAAGTCGACTTCAAAAAACTTTAGCCTCACTTTATAAATATTTCCTGCTTGTTTTTGATCTCATCATCTCTAAGCGATGCTATGTCACAAACTTTAATCTTGCACCTAAAAAGTGCTAGTTATTGAATTAAGATCAATATTTATGTAGAATAAATTACCAATGCTACATAAATTTTCTAGGTTTAAGATAATCCTCTATTTCCAATTACTGCTTTACCCCGCCATATTATCGATATTTTAAGTATTCCTCAGCTACAATTTTCACCGTCGATATTAGCTTCCGCTGATACCTTAATGGATAGTCTATTACCACAATTATTTTCTCCTACGAAAAATTGACTGTAACAGCAGTCTTTTTTTGTCCGGGACATGGCACTATAACAGCCAACCCTCTTATAAGCCAATTAAATATGCTTAACGTTGAAAATCTATAGTAATACTACAAAGATCGTGTTTTTATAAGATTTTAGCGCGACCCTTTTTTGAGAGACTTAAGGGTGTATTTTAGTCTCGGGGCATGAATTTTAAATAATTTTTGAAATTTGAAAAAAAAGTAATTAATATATTTATTCACTTATCAACATTAGAAGAATACAGGCAGAAGTCAAAAAAATTAAACAGTTAAAAGTTTCATACATAAGCAGCCTCCCTAAGTCCCCGTAATCGGAATTAAAAAATCTGAATCTAATTTTTATTCCAAAATTTTTTAATTACAAATTCGCTACCCTGGATGGGACAAAACTATGGCATCTGCAGAAATTTGTTAAATTATTACAAAAATTATCTGATAAATAACTTTATTTTATAACGTAACTGTTAATAATGGTACGACTTGTTGCTGTACCTGACTCACGGGAATTATTAGACTTTTAATCGGGAATGTTTTCCCGCTTGTCCGCCTACATTTTGCGGCATTAATGGACGTGAAATAAAAAAACATGATCGAAAGAAATACTTGAACGAATGTATAAATTGAACATTACAACTACACATGCGTCCACTTAATGCTTTTAACATCAAAAACCTGTGGCAATTGCACACTCACATTCACAGTCGCATACGAGCTGTTGAGTGCGAAAAATCTCGTCGGATAAAATCTGATAATATTGACTTTTGAAGCACTCGCATATCTGCGCAAAGTGCACTCTTACATTAACCGCAAATCCTTGCGTGATAACACCGCAACCGCACACCGCACGCCGCATCCCCTGCGCTACAGAAGACTTGTCGACCCACTTCCGTGCCGGGGCTTAACAGCCTTGTTGCTGACCGTTAATGGGTCGCGGCGGTTGCCGCCGTTCATCAGTGTGTGTGAAAAGTCACTTGAAAATCGCAGTCTAAAAAATCTGCTTCCGAATAAATGAACTGAATGCAAATAATAATACGCAAAAAGCAAAAAAGTTAAGCCGAATGCAAATTAAGTGACCGCACCGCATTTGGAAGCGCAATTGCATGTACATATGTATGAGTATGCGACACTGAACATTAAAATCTGCGAAAAGTAGCACAGATTATACAATAAATATATAGCTGCGAAATTGCGCACGCTGAGTGATTTGAGCGACCCCAGACTGCTTCTGGAGCAAAACAGAAGCTATTTCGCATAATTTTCCTGCAATTCAAACTTAGCCACAATTTGTCAATTTAACTTTGTGTTGGTTTTGATATGATTTTTGAAATAAAAGGATTTTGATGATTGGATAATGCGTTATTATCATGCATAATCCAACACTTTAAATCAAGATTTCGAATCTATGATATTGACTTCCAACCCATTAGTCTAGAACCTAAATTGAATAGACTTTCTAGCAGACTTTTAAATATGTGTTTTCAATGCCTTTATAATACTCCTACACCATACAAAGGCTTCGCTAGAATCATATTCTTCTTTCAAGTTGTGCAGAAGGAGAAATTCTGCCCATTTTTCAGACTTTTGTTATCGGTATCCAAGGCTTTTCTCTTATTTTCGACCGTCAATCCAGCCGATTGGCATCTATCTTGTATCTACAAGTATATATCAATATAGGGAACTACACTTCATAGTTCGAAGTATCAGGAATATGAGAACTTCTGGAATTCAATATACAACGGATTCTAAATTATTTAGTATACAATGGTTGGTATTTAAATTTAGTATCACTATAGGAAATTGCCGCTAATGGTTAAAACAGCTTTTTTTGTATTTCGCGTATGCAAACGTCACGTGATCCTTACTCACAGGTTTCTTACCGAAAATATATGGAAGGTTTTAAGATTTTACTAAAAATTAAACGAGGAGATATCTAGATTTACAGTCCACAGAGTGTTCTGTTTTACTCAATGAAAATCTCGCTTTCGTTTTAAAAAGTAATTCGCATGGACTACTGGGAAACAGTGATGTCGCCAAAAACCCAGATATCGGTGCAGTCTACCAATGGATGTAAATAAGAGGGTGAAATCTCTACAACAAAGTGTTTTTCTCAAAATGAACTCAGCGATTTAGAAGGACGACGCAGAAGGATGTTGTTTGAGTGACATTTGTAAAAATTGTCCGAAATTACTATGGGAAAGGTGAAAGGTGGAATATTTGATGGTCCTCAAATACGGAAATTAATGAAAGATACAAATTATATCAAGGATTAATCCGAAAATTGATGCTTGGAAAAGGTTTGTATTGATAGTCGAAGATTTCCTAGATAAATACCAAATAATGTAGAAATTGTGCAAAATATGCGGCAAAACTGTCGGACTCTAAGAACAAATTTCAATATAAAGTTAGACTATTTCCGTAATAATCTCTATAAATGTTCGGCTAATTTTATTATATGAATCCGAAAATTAAAATTTAATTATAGTGAGAGCCAGGGAGAGCGGTTCAACTAGGATCTAAAAGTGATGGAAGATGTCGATGTTGATGCGATCGTCACATGATGTCAGATTACTGCTAGTTCTTACAAAAATATTGTCGACTTGAAAATTATAAAAGAAAAGCTCTTAAAATACGTTTTATTGAATTATAACATGTGTTTTCGACATTTGTCTTTCTGTTTACTTGGATGGCTCTTTATTTTTCAAAACACAACTGATATAATTTCAGTTATTTTGTTTTATGTTTTCTGATTTTGGTAAAGTAAAATGAAAATAAAGAAAGAAACGGCAGTAAATCTTACAAAACCATTGACAATTTCATGAATTGTGCGCAGATATAAGTATATCCAAACTCGTTCTTATACCGAGGGCAACGAAAACACTGTAGAGCAGTGTTATTTATCACACTTTTATTCGGTTTAAAGAACACAGTTATATATTGTAGAAGGCGGCGAGATTGTGTTGCCTTTTTTAACAGCTTTTAATCAAATAAGAGTCACTCCGTATGAACTTAGAGTTCTACATACGGAATGGATTCTTCTGTCATCGTTATAAAAATAAATAAAAGTCAATTTTAGTTTTCTCATTTTAGTTGATGAATCCAACTTCATCATCACTTCATATCTAGCTACGTGCATATCCATATCAGATCCATTAGCTACCAGAACCAACCGTTTGCCGAACAAAAACACGATGTCCTTTGCACCAACACAACCGGGTACGAAAACAGCAAATTTATATGTCGAATTCTAAGTTCGTCGCTATGTGTGTGCATATATAAGTAAACTTTTCATTCACACACACTCAAGCCTTACAGTTATGTACCAGTATGTACAAGCACACATCCATATGTATAAGCAAATGCGAATGTATGGAACAGTGGCTGGTGGCAGCTGCATAAATTTTAAAGTAAACTTTGGCGCAATCAACCAAATGCACCGCTACACAGATTGCCCCAGCATCTTTGCCAACTCTTGCTTTTATTCCTCCTTTTTACATTTTTGTATTTGTCTTGCAAATTGTTTGGCATATTTCTTCTTTGTTCCTTGTTGAAAAATTTCCTAAAATCGCATCGATACTCTCGGTTAGTTGCACTAAATTCTTGTTACTTGAAGTGAATAAACAAATGTACAACACACGCACACACACACACACACTTAAGCCATAAACTAATAAATATGTATTTATAAATGAAGATTGTGCCGAAAACTGCCGGAACCTGCAGTTCAGCTGGGCTTCAATCTGTGCAAAAATATACACTCGAGCCTTTTGATTTCGCTGACACAAACACACATACTCGTATTACTACATTTAAATATATGCACTTGGCTGGTGAATTTCTGCTTTGTGTCCAGCATACGTATGCAAATGAGTGCTGTGGTGTTTCAGTCGGTGGCGTTCAGTTTTGTTTTGTTTTGCTGTTATTTAAGTGTGGTAATAACAAGAAATATTTGAAATTCACTTTCTGGATTTCTCGAATAATAAATCTGGAAATTAATTTTAGAAATTCTGAGAGATTGATTGCATTGCTGTGTAAATTCATTTGAAAGGCGGTTATTGGCTTGATTGGTCGGTGTTGGGAAATAAATGTTGATGAAAAGCATTTTCATCAATCGGGTGACTTATGCACAAAGTGCTTTAAATACACATGGCAGTTTGTTAGAGAGGCAACTTTCGTTCATAAAATTAAATTGATTGCACTAAGCGGAGCCGCTTCATGCCCTTGGCTCTTGAAACTTCTCCCAACTTACATCTGCTACAACAAGCAGCAAGTCACATAGTAGAAGCTCAAAAAATACTTTCAAATTATTTCAATTACACAAAAAAAAATATCCGTTAGAATTTTTTTATAGTGCACTAGTATTACTTGAGGTTATCGTATTCTATCACAGTGGTTTCATCAACATAGATTGCAACAAAATAAAAATATAATAAAATGAAACACCTCAATTCAATATATAAAATGAAAATGCTGAAGTTAAAATGGCCTTCAACATTCCGTTATGAAATATCAACGTTCGCATTACATCAGTCATTATAGGCACACTTTCTATGTGGTACTTACATACGATGTCCATTCGGCCTTCGCCCTGCACCGAAGAAAAGTTGGGGGCCTCAGCTGAGATTTCGCAACGGTACAAGCCGGATGAGTTGAGCGTTAAACCGCGCAGAAATACGCGCCAACTGTCTGAGTGCTCCTCCTGTGAACAATAAAAAAAAAATGTATTTTAATAAAGAATTTTAAATGCCGACGAGAACAGAGCCACTACAAGCAAATGTGGAGGTGTGACATTTTTACTCACACATCCACATTTCGAGTTTTCCAATTTCCTTTGCCATTAGAGTTTTCCAATTTCGCATGTACTTACACTAACACGTATGCCATCAAAGCGATAACTCGTCTTCTGCGGGTGCGCCTTCGGCACAAAGCGATAGAACTCCTCGTTGTCCTTGTACCACTTTATGGCATACAACGCCTCACCATCCTCATCCTCATCGTCCTCCACTACGTCTTCTTCTTCCTCTTCCTGTTCCGCCTCCTCTCCATCATCGACGCCGTCGCCGAATTTGTAGCGATGTGATGAACCCTCCGCCGTCGCACCGCGCGAGCCGCTAGTGAAGGTGCTGGCGCCAACATGCGCGCCACTGCTGCTGCTGCTGCTGCTCACGCCGCTATTACTGAAGCCGGGTATGCCCAACGCTTGACTGAAAGCCGCGCCGCGATAAACGCTATGCCCGTAGGGAGAGCGCTGCGTTTGATATGGGTAGTGCTGTTGTTCGTCTTCTTCCTTTTGTTGTTGCTGCTGATAATAACTGCCAGCGCCATTTATGTCGCTGCTACTGCTGCTGCTGCTGCTGCTATAACTTTGTGATGGCTGATATGGATAGGTTGGATACTGTTGCTGGTATTGTTGTTGCTGCTGGTGCTCTTGCCGCTGTTGCTGTTGTTGATGCATTTGCAGTCGCTCCGTTTGGTAGGAATATTGACGTTTGTGCCGCCTAAATTTCGGCCTCATGGCCACAAAGTGATGTGCATCGAAAAAATGCATATTGCTGCCATAACGATTGCGTGTGTTGGTGCGTGTGCGCGTTCGTGCGTAGCTGCGATGTCGGGTGCCAGCGTCACTGACTAAAACTTCACTTCCGACGTTGCTCCCGACGCCCCCATAATATGGCGGGCCGCCTGTGCGATTCAACTCATATTGGCATTCGAGCATGGCAGACTCGCCTCGAAATTTGAAAGCTGGTATTGAGACCTTCACCAGACGCAGACCAGCTAAACCTGGAACAGTAGTGGAAAGCAAAGTAATTTATTTTTTCAATAAGAATTTGAGTGTCAATTTAATATGAAGGAGCCAAGCTACTCCAAAACAAAACTACCATTAATTTTAGTTTTTTAGAGTCTCCCTCTGTGGCACAAAAGTTTCCGCTTTAACAAATTATACTTCGTTTCATATTAGTCATACGCCTAGGCAAATGTAGTACGTTAACAAAATATGACCAGAAAACTTGGCAATTATAGTACCCCAGGTATGCTGCTATCTTTTGCCAGACTTCAGATACCGAAAATATGAATGCCGTTCCTACGATTAAATTTATTGTTGTAACATTGCTAGGTTAGTATGGTCATTTGAAGACAAAAATTATGAAATAACGAATTACAAACTGACCAGTTTATCTAATGAAGCTGCCTGGCGTATTGTATTTCCAATTTCATAACTAGGATCTAGCAGTTATTTTATTTTTCACGAACACGTGATCGTGCTATAATAATTGGGTCGTATATACAAGTGTACAGTCAACCCAGGGCAGACTGAATGGTTTTAACTGCGACTGTGGTCGGTTAATGCCACCCAACCATTGTCATTTTAAGATATACGGACAACAGTATCCAACGTATAAAGATGCATGTCTTGTACTAGGAATGCCAAAATATACAATTGGAACAGTATACTGGCTGCAGCTGCATTAAATTAAAACAAATTCGTTTATTCTTTGCTATAGTACTGATGCCATGTTTGCCGATCCGAGCATGCGGGATAATCATAAAGATGCAATGACTGATGATATATTGTATCGACATCGTACAAGGTGCAACGATCTAACATATCATTCAGTGACGCAATATTACAATGAAGAATTTATTACTATTGAGGATCATTGCATTGTCATTGCGAATTAGCCAATCAGCCACTTCGGTATGAGTTCACCAAATGATGCACAAAAATTAACTTACGACTGGCAGTTTCGGACGCACAAGGTGGAACTGTAAAAACATGCTTTGTTTCAATCCTCCTTGCTGAGATACGATCGAAAATGACATAGCATTGGCCTTTGCATCATCTGGTGTTGCAGCATTTTGATTAGATGAAAGCAGAACAGCTCATTCAGCATTTAAGCTGTCATTAAACTTTCAAAATAACCCAGATGCAGTGTGCAATATAAAAAAACACAATCATTGATGGCTAAAACAGTATAAAATGATCATTGGTATTTACATGCAAAATGACACACAAACATTCCCTTGGGGCATTGTATCAGATTTTGATAGATATAAAACAACACGACAAATTATTTGGCTCCTTTCAGGTGATTCAAGCACTTTCAACGTTCGATGATGATATCAATGCTTGCTTAAAATCAATGCGAATGTGGCGTAATGTTGAGAAATATACAATTCAATCATACAACAGTTGTTGCCAGGGGACTTGGTGTCACAAAAATCTATCGGCGCCAAGGAAGTTGTGAATTGCCCAATTGCCTTTTTTCATTCATTGCATGTGCTGGGCATGAGTTCGATCTGCGGTTATTTTGCTTCATAATTTTAAAGACAGTACCGCCTTGCAATCGCACAAAGTTATTCATTAAAAAATTATTGAAAACATTATCGAAGCTAAACTTTCGAATAGTAAAATTTTAATGCCAATTAAGTCACAAGGCCGCACGTTGTCTGTTTGTGGCTTAGATTTGGGTGCACCATGCTTTTCTCACGAACAACTTTATGTGGCAGGTTCTCACGTGTGCAAACCAACTAGTTTGTTTGTATTCGCTAGAGACGCAAAAACAAAAATAGTATACATTCCATTGCGTTTTTAATTATTATAATTTGTTGTAAAAAAATTAACTACTTTCGTTGTATAAATAGCTAGCAATTATAATTACATTCTCCAAACTCTTAATTCTTTAAAAAAAAATCATAAAAAATATTTTTCTTTACAAAAAATTTCCAAAAAATAACGTACATATGTATATGACAAAACAATGTTTGCCGGGTCAGCAAGTATTCATATATAACTAGTAAATACATATATATGTTAAATAAATAGTAACAAAAGTGGCATTGGAGTGTGCAAATATACGCTCATTCAAATACCAAAACTGGAAAGCAAAAATTATGCAACTCGTCTTGCGAACTAGTTCCTTTTAAATCCTTCCATGTTTTCATTGATTGAATAAGCTAAAACACTCTTCGGCTTAATTCAATGAAAGAGGTAATGGAAGAAACTAATATGTTTAAACTAATCTCAAATGATGACACCCAGTTGTATTTTAAAAAAGTTGCTGCTGGTACGGTACATGATTGTCGGTCGGTGAACCAGCTCTCAAAACTCAAATTTCAGGATAAAAATTCAAAACATGATTGCTGACTTGAATCAAAACCAACTATTTGCCGAATAGTGTAATAGGGATATACATATTGGAAAGGATGGTGCACACTACACCGTTATTGTTACATACTGAAATCAACACCAGCGGCCTTGCGTTTGTACCACGTATGCAAATATACCTTCCCTCCCGTGTTGAAGTTGGCAGCTTTGCTTGGAACATTTAAGTGCGCACAACAACATTGGCTCAAGTGGTCCATTGAAACTTGCTAAAGCGTAAAGTGTAAAGCTCGGCATTACAAGCCAATTGTTAGCAACTTATTTGCTTTTTTTTTGCCTTCAACTTGGTTGAAGAGTTGCGAAAAACGGGTGATTTATTTTCATCAAGCCGTGGAGGCGGAGCGTAATGCTAAAGGAGCATTAAAGCACACACATACATTTGCGTTAATGGAAAGAGTATAATAAAAATGGATATAGGCCTATTGACCTCACTCACAACTTTCCATTGAAGTGGTGTAAAAGTTTAAGTGCCATTCTGTTAATCCTGCTGCTTGCAACTTGCTGCAGCAACGAATTGTGACAACAAATTGATGACTGTCAAGAGTGAAGGCGCAAGCTTCCAGCTGCAGCCGCTGGAGAATGTGGAGAAAACATTTCGAAGTAAGTAGGAAAAAACGGCTTCAAAAGTTGTCGAGCTGTGATTGAAATGATTCGAACGAGCGTAAGGAATATAAAAGCGAAATCTGCCAACAAAAAGCATATGTTAGTGGCACTCTTGGTGCTGCTGCCGGCTAAGGACCAATAAATTACTTAAGTATAATTTGTGCAGCAACAGCAAACCAAGTCGACCAAATGCATGCGGCTGAGGCGTTGCAAAAGTATACAGCAGCAAGCAAAAATTAAGCCAGTGGAGCGTAAGCTAAAGCAAAGTGTTCGAAATGCGAAAGCTTGGCAGCTGTCAGCCAGTGGAAGCTACTTGGAGCACTCTGCACAGCCACTTAAATGAGAGTGTTTTCTCTCGGCAAATTCATGTGTATTTATGCGTTAAAGCGCTTCTAAATCATTGGGAAAAATAGATTGTACATGAAGAGCCGAAAGTTCACTTTGCTAGCGAATAGTTTATCGATGCTAATCGAAAGGAAAGTTTGAAAATTGAATTATGAAAGTTATTTTAGTTCAAATTTTGAATTGACATTTATCTTATCGCCAAATAGACGCTGGAAAATGATGAAGTACTCAATTTTTGATATTGAACGTGATATCAGTGAAAATTATAAATTGTATTCACTTCGAATCAACAAATCCTAGTTAACCACAAGTATGAAGGGATGTTGAAACACTTTATATACTTACTCATGGCACAAAAAATGTTGCATAGACGTTTGAATAAAAATAGTTGGAACAAATTTTTATCCTACTACTTTTGTAATGTTACACAAAAGCATTGGCAACCGATAAATAAGCAATACTAAGTGAATTCAGAATGAACACAACTCATCATAGAACATTAAGCATGCATGTTTAGATTATTCCTGAGAGAAATGAAAACTAGTTAAACGAATTTCTAGTTCTGAATTATAATCATTTTTCTAAATTCACCAGGATCACAGTAGCTTGTTCAGGAATAATTAAAATAAACTGTTTTGATGTTGATGAAAATAGAAAAATAGTAGTGACTATATTTGCAGTACGTCAAAAATTATATTGCATATTGAAGAGACCCATAAAAGTTTCTGTAAAAAATTACATTTTCATTTTTCTTCGACGAAAGTAGAATTTTATACTATCACATATCGAATACTACTACGTCGCATAAGAAGAAAAGCTTGATGAGATTGACAGCAGCCATTTCCTTCTCATAGCAACAGTAAATTAGCTAGATGCTAATGCTATTTGGAAAATAAAGTGAACGTAATAACAAGGCAAATTGCACTAAAATCAAAGAACCGGCGTATTTTCCTACAGAGATGCTATACCTTCTCTCAATGCACATACAAATACAAGGCATTTAACGTACAGAGCATACTTACGTAAGTAATGACATATTTATGTAGACTTACAATCAGTTCGCCTGCAATGTACCAGCGCCATCACAATAGAAATAACTTATCCCATTTCACATTGATATTCCATTTGCTCTGAAAATTTCACTAAAGTGGAGCAGCAAAAAATTGCATTTACATACCGTTGTTGAATGGATCCGCACACCCACACACACCCCCCTGCACAATGACCCACCTTACACATTCCTATTTCACATAACCGAAATGCCGCCGCTAATGCTGATAACTGTACAATACTCGAGGAAAGTATAAATTCACTTCCACGAAAAGTAAAACTCTCTGCTGATGACAACACCGCTTTGTAACGGCTTCTCACTTTCCAACCCCCGCAGGCTGTCGCCGCGCTACAAGCGATTGGTGGCGCTAACGTGGAAAGGATATTTTAACACCGAAGACAATAAGACGAGTATTCAAGTCGATTTTATTGTTGCCCAATATGTTTTGTGTGAATTTCGGCGGCCATTGTGCTCGGAATGGAGTTTTTTTATTTGTTTTTGTTGCGCATTGTTTGTTGTGTACCAGCAACGTGCTATCAAAGGATTTACCTGAGGATTTCAAAGCCCCCACCTTTTCATGCTGCCCACCATCCTTGGAGTATGCAAAGCTGAGCTGCT